GCCAAAACTGCTGGAGGTGCAAGCAAGCTCTTTCCCAAAATGAAATGATTGCACTTCACAAAACCAGTCAGTTTACCTCTTCTCTCAAGAGCCTCTCTCGCCCCTGACCAATTGGATTGGCGTTTCGACATTTCAACCTGAATGGGTTTCGAAAGTGAACTCATGCATATCGTGACGTCACGTTGCAACTGAGCTGGTTCAGGCGACATTTTATGACATACGGAGGGAGGGACAACTGCTACTTTCCGTCGTTGCATCGCCTTAAGCGACGTGTATTTGAAGATAAGAGACAAGATTGTCGTGAAGACTTTCACTTGGAATAAAAATGCATGAAGAGATTCGTAGGTCAATATCACCGAAAGACGACGGTCGATTCGAGTTGTACCAAAACCGTTTGGCGTTAATACAACGTGTAGGTTGACGCAACCCATGACAGCTCAGACCAACCGGCTCGGACTGGTGGTTTCGTAACCCGATTTCCACTCGTACATGTTCACGATTCTTCAATTCAACCGGGGTTGCCTACAGACTAACGCATTTTGGGTCATGTTCCAGGAGAATATCTATTAGTAAAAGTGGGTTGACCTCGTCGCAACTTGGTCTTGTTGTCAGGACGACTATGTAGAACGCACCTAGTCCGAAGTTGTCTGCCAGAGTAGTTGTCATGATTCCCAGCATCTGACAGTTGACTTTTTACATTCTCAGACGTTTCGCTGGCATCGTAGTCGGCATCATCAGTGAGCCTTGATTCGTGAGTTTCTAAATAGTCTCCCTGACAATAAAAACAAGTTGCGACAACGAGGTCAATCCATTTCTATAAATCGAAAGGAGACTGCGACCATACCAGAGGCCACAACATCTTGGTCTTCATATATTCAATCTATTAGTAAGTTTAGACGTGGTGTCAATGTACACAGATATTCCAGTTCAAGGAACCATCCAGGCTCTAATGCTCCGCCTGGAGGAGCATTCAGAGATTACGGAGGGAATTGAGTTAAGTGTAGTCTCCATTATAAGGCTACTTATCCTATCCATGAGTAGTGCATATTTCACCTTTGATGGTAAGTTTTATGAATACACACAAGAAATCGCGAATAGTTACATAAAAAAGTTTGAAGAATGCTTAATGCGAGGGGTAATTCCGAGTCTCAAGTTTTTTGTTAGGTTTATGGATGGTAAAGACAATTTAGCTTGTTTCCTATTTTCACTTAACCAACGTGAAAGAAATATTAAATTCACACTGGAGTTAGAAGAAAATAGGAAATTACCTTATTTGGACGTTATGATCAATAGGGAATGGTAGGCTAGGCAGAGGTGCTTATATGAAACCAGCATATACTAGTTTTGTTATTAATTTTCCTTCTAACCATAGTTACACAAATAATATTGGAATTTCTAAATCTATGTTCATTAAGAGTATGAGGCTTGCAGATGAAAAGCATATGACGGAAGAGTTAAGAATACTGAAATGTTTAGTCATGGAAAATAATTATCCTTTGGACCTAACTGACCATTATATAGCTTTAATGAGGAAATCATTTTCAGGCAGAGAGTATTTGGTCAGAGGCCAGGCGAAAGCCTTTCTCATGTTTTCTTTCCAGGAAGATGGGGGGAGGTGAAGACAGTTTTCTAATAAACTCTGACACTTTCCTTGATTGTACCTTCTCTTAGAGAGAACTATGACTCACCATCAAGATCCGGTTGTTCTAAGATTATGTGCTCCTGCGGTCGACCTTGTGTTGGGGAGACCTGTCGACCGATCCGCCAACATTAGCGGAGCCCAAAAATGCTTGTAAATCCAGTTGGCCCGGACGGTCAGAAGTGGCGGAACACATGATGGAGACCGGGTATGGGATAGAATGGTTTCGGAAGAAGACGATTGGTGAGTATGGCATGTCTACTACGAAACTCAAGATGAGTATAAATGTCATATAGAAAAAAGTCGGTTAGTCTTCAACCAAGCATAAGTAATTCTTTTTCGTATGTAAGTAGAGTTTCTAGACTATCAGTAAATCAGTAGTATGAGATGCATTTACTCTATTTGGTTTAAGGTGATTAAGGACTTGTAGTAGAATTCTCCCACAATGATACGAGTAGAGCTGACGTTTCCATTGAATTGTCTGCTCAATGATGGTTCTAACTTCACTGACACTCATAATTTAGTGTGACATAACTCTGAATTTTAAAAGAGATTTGGTTGAAAGTAATTCGTGAAACACTTGCAAATCCACGGTCCATAGTAAAGGCTGTACAATCTTGGTCTTAATACCATCAAGATCCGGTTGTTCTGAGATTATGTGCTCCTGCGGTCGACCTTGTGTTGGAGAGACCTGTCGACCGATCCGCCAAAATTAGTGGAGCAGTTGGCTCGGACGGTCAGAAGTGGCGGAACACACGACGGAGACCGGGTATGGGATAGAATGGTCTCGGAAGCAGACGATTGATGAGTATGGTATGTCTACTACGAAACTCAAGATGAGTATAAATATCATATAGAAACAAGTCGGTTAGTCTTTTTGATTTAGTGTTGACCTGAGACTTTTGCAAGAATGAGTCCCAGCTCTGACGGTGTTCGTCATGTGGCATGACGAACGAAAGCTCAGCCCGTCTTCGCCCGAAACTTTGGAGGATGCCTCGTGGACTGGATCAGTCTGACTGTCGTATTAATATTCGTATTAGAGTAGGGTTTCGAGACTACCAGTAAATCAGTAATATAAGATGTATTCACCCAATTTTGTCTAAGGTGATGAAGGACTGGCAGAAGAATTTTCCCACAATACAATGAGTGGAGCTGACGTTTCCATTCAATTTCGCATAGCCTTGCTTTCCCAAAAGTTGTTCTCATCCCGGCTGAAGTGGACTGCTTTTTCGACCTCGCATCGGAAAGCAAGGCTATGTGAAATGCAATGGAAATGTCAGCTCAACTCATATGATTGTGGGAAAATTCTACTACCAGTCCTTCATCACCTTATACGAAATTGGGTGAATACATTTCATATTGTCGTATTAATGCCAAAATGTCTATATTTCAATGCGAATGAACCGGCGTCTTCTTTTGATATTGACCTACGAATATCTTCATCGTGTACTTCTATATGAACTGAAAATTTTCACAGCAATCTTAAGCGACTTAGGTTGACTGCTCTCATTCAAGCATATTATTAGATTTCT